TTTTTTTTTTTTTTTTTCTTTCTCTTTACTTACTTTTAGATGACGTTTTTTTTAGCTTCCTCCAATTTTTTTTTTTATTTTACGTTCCTTTTATTTCCCTCCTGTTTTATAACACTCTTTTCTTGTTCTTCTTTTTTTATCATTGAATTCAATTTTTATGCTTCTCATTCAACATTTCTTTCTTTTTATCAGATTTACGAATCTACTCTGTTACAACAGAATTTACAACAATTTAAAAATTTCCTTTTTATCTCTCATCATTTTTATCCGTGATGTCAAACGTTTTACGATGATATTACATTCGTGAAAATTTGTATCTCCGTTCGCTCGAAACTCATTTTTGTAATTAATCTGCACTTTGGTATACATAAAATGAACGTTATTACGAATTATATTTTTCAATTTATTATATTTTGGCTCGTGATAAGGCGGAAAAACATTTACGCTAATCTAATACGAATAATATTTCCGATTCGAAACTGCCAATTCGCATCGTTTTGCAAACAATACTTATGCAAAATTCATCCTCATCTGCTCGTTTATTCCATTTCCAGAATGTATATGGTGAAAGGATCGCGTTTAATCGTCCGGCCAACGTTAAAATCGTTGGACCGTTTATCGACAAGTTTTTTTCCTTCATTCAAACATTCTCGGCGAAAAATTCAACGCGCAAAAATTGAACGTTAAAAATAAACGACGATTGGAAAATGTTTCGAAAGCTTTTTACTTCCAACCGCATCTGATAATTCGATATTTCGATCGTGGCAAGCTTTTGCGCGATGATAAAAAGCTGGGGGACCACCGTTACCATCGAAAATCGAATCGTTCAAACAGCGTTTTCACGATGCATTATTTTAAGCACGTGAATTAACAGTTTTTAACAAAGATCTCGAGAAAACGAATTATTCCATTTTAAAAGAAACAGTGATCGAGAAAATAACATAAAATATCTAGAACAATCTTTGAAATAATCTTTGAAAATAATAAAAAAGGATGATCGACGAAGGGTTAAAAGTTGTGAACGCGCGATCGTTTCGATTAAAAATTATCAGAGAATTACGAAATTTGTCACGAACTCGATATCGGCGGCGTAGAAGAATCATCTTCGCGAGAAGATCAAAAAGTGGTTCGAGAATCATATTAAAATTCCATTTGCACACTCACTTGGCCTCAAGGGCGAGGGCAAACACTCCTGCGGCTTCCGGCGCGGCGGCTGACGTTCCACTGTGCGTTGTCGTGCATTTGCCGTAGAGATCGGTGGTGGCCTGGAAAAAAAAGAAGGAAAAGAAAAAAAAAAAGAACGTAGAAAAGAGAGCTCGGTCGAAAACGCAATGTCAAGAAGAATCTCCTCTCCTGCGGTTAAAATTAAAATTTATTTTAACCGCGGTTTATTACCGAGCATATATTTGCATTTTAATGACACCACGGAACGTTTTAATTGCGATTAACACTCCTCTCAAAAGCGTTTGTACTCGCGGTTGGTAACCGCGTGTCACCCGCCAGATTTTAAGTGGCAAAATTCTGAATGCCCTTTTAACGCAACTCGACGATCTCGTTGTTCATAATCAAACACGACGTTTCTATCTTCGAGAGTTTCTATCGAGAGAAAGAAGGTCGAATCACGCGCAGAAAGTTTTAACAATCGCATAACAATATTTCACACGAGAATAGTTTCGACTCGAGACGATCGTAAAAGAAAAAGCACGAATCGTTTTAGGCCGTTGAACGCGGATAACTTGCAGAGGAGCGGATTAAACGTTCTGTTTCTAAACGTTGTAATTTCCTCTATAACAACGCGCGTGTTCCCTGGATATCGAGAAAGTTTTCGTATTAAAAGTTCGGACCCGCGCATAGTTGGTGTAACCGCGATAAAATCGCGATCAACGTCGGTTTTAATCGATCTTCTCTTCCCCTAATGTTTGCAAATATGGAACAGTCACGTTCCACGATTTATGGAACGATCGAAAAGAGAAAACGTATCGATCGAGTCATTGGCCACATGGCTCGCACGTCGTGCGATTTTCCGTATATCGTTATCGTGAAACATGTTCGATAATTTTAAATTTTAAATGATCATCGAGTCGAAAATTTAAGATGTAGTTTTCGAGCCACGAGTTTTTTCCAAGTTAATAATAAAGTTAAAAAAAAAAAAAATTGAAAAAGGAAAAAAAATACGTAAAGTAGTCCCCTTACGTAAGTTCCCTTTTTTCACTTAACGCATCGGACGATGAAAATGTATTTTATTCGACGATAATCCTAGCGCGCGTCTAATCTGGTTGCCATACGGTTGTACGAGTTCGAACCCCTTGCCTTTCTCCTTTATTTTCCCCTTCGTTCAGCCGTGAAATTTTTCGTGAAGCGGAGAGAACGGTGGAAAATCGGAGCGAACCGTGTTCATCCATAAAATCCCGGTTATCGAGCGCAAAAAACGGTCCAGGAACGAGGGCAGAATCTATTCAGGAATGTGTGTACATCGTTGGATTGTAAACGATGCGGTGTAACACGGTGTTAACAGCCAGTTTATAGAACGTTATCGAAAAACATCCTCTCCTGCAAATTCCTTTTTTTTTTTTCTGGAAGTTCGCATTTTCTTCTTTATTCACGTAACCCTCTTCGAATTCCGTTCGAACGACGATTTTCTCGCTGGTTTCGCAATATGAAGCAATTAGAGTGGAGAAAATATATCATATTCTTTTTCTCGAATGGGATCTGTTCACTCTGTTTGTCGCGTCTTTATGGAGCCATTGCTCTTCGCGAGAATCGTTAAAAAAGCTCATAAAAAACAAGAAAAAAAAAAGGAACCACGAATAACAGTGGCAATCTTCCTTTAACGCGTGAAGAAGCTTCCATATCAGGAGTATCGATCAATGATAAGCATCCATAAAACCACGGTAAAAAAGTTTACGAGCGGTTTACTAAGCTTTCGTGAGCTAAGAATTTCTCACGTTAATCTTGGGCATTGAGAACGATCCTCTCGTGAACGATACTTTCACCAATATATTTCTTCGCTAATGATACTACATACGTATAGAAATATATTTTCTTTATTGTAAAAATTTATTTTATTCGCAGAAGATAACGTGGCATTAACACAGATTTTTGTCTATAAATAATACGCGTGCATTTCTCGTAATTTATACAATCTTTTTAATCTTATTCGAAGAATAAGTTCCAGAGAGATTTAGTGTGCGGTGTTTCTCGATTCTTCGTTATTTGTTGGCCATTGCGCTGAATCTGAAATCTGATTTTCTCTTTCACCGTTTGAACTTTAAAACGATAACGTATTGCTTTTGCTTTTGAGTGAAAAATATTTTTTGTTATTAAAATTTCTATACAAAAGAGGGAGGAAATTAAAAAATTTTCATTCGACAAACGATCGATTTTCCAAACATCGATCACAATCATTCCCACTCGTCGAATATTCTCTTCTCGATTATATCTTTTGGAATATGTTAGCAATTTCATAAAATGTTCAGGTTGATCGACAATTTTCGAGGGATCCTATATAAGCGTGGATCTATGTGGAGCAATCTCGCGTATGGCGAATGCAACTTGTCCCGACAGACCAGAATCTAATCTCATCTTGGTTGAACAAATAAT